GCGCCGTACGCTGCGCCGCCGCTTGGCAGTGGGATGATGGATACAGCAGAGATGGCGACGGGCCGCGCATTTACCGGCGTTGGATTTTTTTCTGCATCGTCAGCACTTTTTCCAATTACGCGGCATATGGTGCTTTAAATTAATCCAATACTATACTCCTAACGATGATGAAGTGCGCACTCGGACACTGTCGATTGACCGCGACGCAAACTAAATTAAAATAACACTCTTACATTTTATGGCATTTTTGCTTTCGGGTAAATCCGACGGAGCATTCACGAGACACGCGCCGCAGCCCGGCATGTCCCTCGTTGCTAAACCAACGCAGCGTCCGGCACGCAGTGGTGGTGGTCGTGGTGGGGGTGCGGGCCCATTGGGGCGCCCCCACGCAGAAATCATCTTTGGAGGCCCCATCCTAACCCCACCCACCAACCCTTTCAATGCATTAAAAATCCTCGTCGAGAAAATAGGGAGATGAGAGAAGAGAATGCTTCAGATGAGACAGAGATGTAGTCAGGTGAGAGCAATGAGGCAGCGACAGGAGAGGGATGGGAGGAGGCAGTCATTTGCTTTGCGAATGGCCATCGGATTTGTTCTGTTTATCAGCATTCGAATTTGAGATGCTATTTGGTTCACCCCTATTAGTCCATGAGCCAGAGAGAGAGGGTGGTCAGTACCCCCCTGGGGGGACGAATGCCCATTATTATTTTTGACAAAGTCTGGTGGATCCCTAGAGAAGGAATATCATCGGCGATAGCGTTGCAGGAATATAATCCGTGATAGCGGTGCAGGACTCGCTGTCCTCTCTGTGGTTTCACTCCATGGTCAACCTTCGATTTTGCCAGTAGCTACTCGATCTATTCAATTGTGCAGCGGGTCTCTATACCAATCTCCTGCAGCATCTTTATTGGTGAAGTCGGGTTATTATAATTGAGAGCTGAGCTGGTCAAGCATCTGTAGTTGCCAGTGTAACAAACGGCATTCAGCTATCTCCACTGCGTTGCCATGGGCAGGCTCCCTATTTTACTTTATCTTCAATTAAAATTCCGAGCACTCGTTTTTTACACGACAAATACCAAAGCTGAAAGTGAATCTACATATCTCGGCGCACGGTATAAGAAGTTATTGGTGCACGTGTCTATCGATTGATGCATTGGGGTCTTCTAAAGACCCTTTGTCATTTTCTGGTGGTAGTATTCATCAATTTGTGATGGGGAAAGGTGACCTCTGCTCCCATTTTCTTTGCAGTGAAAATGCGAATCAGAATCACCATCTTACTATTACCGTAAAACCTTCTCCCATTGCAGCAAATAATTATTGAATGAGAAAAGTATTTTTTTTCATCTTATGCAAATATCTCTTACGCACCATCTGCTTCTTTAAAAATAGTTAATATTGCTGTTTTTTCAATACGCATAGGCTCTTTCAGTTGACAATTTGCATCTACGCTACGTATATATTTAGTAACCGCATATTTCATTTGCATTCAGGCAGCCTGGTGGAGGCGGCGTAGGTCTCGAAGTAGTTTAGCAGGTAGCTTCCAGTTTCGTTTTGGAATAGCCAAACCATATCAAGTCCCACAGTCCTCGCACACACATTGTTTGCACACCAGGGCAACCGTAGACCCCCAGCCCCGGATAAACACATCAACGGCACGGGAAATGCTGACGCAAGCGGATTCATCCGACTGCGGAATAAGCCTCGGAATCCCGGCAGTGCGTTGCGCTGCACTGACCAAAGGAGCATGGCCCCCAGCAGCAGCAGCAGTAGTAAATTAATAACGATGCCATTCATCATTTACCCAGGCACAACTAATGGAGTCTCAAGCGCAGTTTTCAGGAGAGTCCTGGCGAGAGTATGTTTGGTCTATTCTTATTTAATGCCCTTAACCCTGAACGGACTGAATAGGTCTCAAGAATATCTCCCAGAGGGTCCTGCATTGGGCCGTTTGGTATATTTTCCACACCAAATCATTTGCCGTTATGCTACCGATTTTTAACCCCCCCGACACCGTGGACTGATTTTCCAAGCAAACACTGAGATAGCAAAAACCCGATGTGAGTTGAGATTTGCTAAATTGTTACGCGGTAAAAGGAGGGGAAATAATCGGCAGATAACCCCTTCAATTGGTAGGATTTGGCCAATCCCATAACAATGAGTGTGTTAAAGGAAACTGGAGTGCCAAAAAAAGCCCAATGGGCATACGAGAGGACAATGCTGAAAGGTCCAGGCACAGATGGGTTCATGAACACATTTGCCCACAGCAACCGTGATGGTAACATCGTACTGAACGTCAAGAAAACGAAGTGGGCTTGCGAGAGGACTCGCCGATAGACAGGGCCGACGTCCGAGGCTTACGTCGGAGGGGCCGCCACGGGGGAGTGAACGCGTCCGAGAGAGCGTCCAACGTGCGGACAGAGCGGCGATGTCGGTTCTCGAGTGGAGGATGACTATATGGATGGTCGCATGACGTGACCGTGAGGGGGAGGCCTTCATCCAGCAGTGGATTGAGCACGGATGATGATGAACAAAAACGTAATAATAACAATAACGCCATGGAAAAGTGTAACTCTCACTCGCTCTGCTCGTCACATTATGTACTTGTTTTCTACAACAACAACAACGGAGATCTACAGCACAGATCAACGGTCCGTGCCCGGTACATTCACGAGCGTTCATAAATTTCACTCCAAATTGTTTTTATCGACAATAGTGCCCCCCACCGCCGCCCCCCCTCTCAGAGTGATTCCCCACTCCCCAACGGGGCATGAGCATCCCTTGCACCACACCACGCCAACCCCCCGCCCCCCATCGCCTCTCCTGCAATCCGGGCCGTTCAAATGATGTCCATAAAACAGTGCTGCTGTCAGCAAAACGAACCCATTGTCAGCCTGCGTCTGTAAATAATACCGTGATGCCGGCAACGCTGACCCGCGGTCAGGATGGCTTCTGATAATCGGAGGCGGTGCAGCGTCCCATGGCGGTTTTTATGCGAGGGGTCAAATTTCAGATTTTGTCAGGCAATGGGATACTGGCGACGGCTCTTGGCATACTGCAACGATATACAATACGCCGTCAAAGTAATTTCCGGCTCAAATCAGCATTGAAGCGGTGCCCATCAGCCGGGCTCGGGACCTCGGGTTTTCCGGTTACTCACTTTGATTCCGTGACGCCGTCCGGCGAAGCCATTCCACAATCCGATCATTCCTTACGCGAAAAAATGGGGCCCTCCAAGTCGCAGGGCACGGCCAATCAACGTCAGCGTTTCCAGTTTCAAATCACGAAGGGCCTGCAGCGCGCAAGACGAGTCCTCCACAAAAGCTGACATGAAACATTTACGATGAACGAAATTAAATATGAATGACGGTACGGCGGTGGTGGGGAGTGGGGGGGGAGAGACGGCTGCGGGCGACAGCCAGGAATGCCAGCGCTGTGCCAGCGTAACTTTAGATTTCGCTTCGACCCTCTGCGTCCTTTGTGATGCCGCTCAGCGGCTACAGTCCACCACAAAACCACGCGAAGCCCCACCTCATTTTCCACGTCCGCTTACTCAACAGACGTACTCAATGGGGCTCTGTGCAATCACCCACCCCATGGAGGGTGGTACGTTGCTTCAAATTTGAAATACACGTAGCAACATTTTTTTTAATAACAATAATAATAATAAACGTCAGCTTGGGGGTGATCTGACCTTATCCAACCGTGCATGAAAAGTAATTTTAAAATGTTGTCAATTTTCTCCCCAGCCACGAAGCGTACAGGAGAAGGGGGGTGGGAGAATGGATCTGACCCCCATGGGATGCCTCGAGGTACATGCAGCACGGCCACACGCAACTCGGCAACCTGATCAACTCATCCCGAGCTGATCGCGGTGCCGCCAAGCCACATTTACAATGGTCGCGGGAAAGCAGTGCGAGGCGCTTGAACCTACTGCCTCGGTTTCTGTGCGTTCACGTTGTGTCCGCACATTGACGGCACGTTTAAGATGCCGCCCCACACGTGCATCGAAACGTCAGACGTCGTGCTGAGTGACAGGCAGTGACAACCTGAACTCACAGCAGAGTGCTTGCACCCAAAAAAGACAAGGATCTCCTTACAGCCAAAATAGACTATTGGGAGCAAGTGCTGCGAGCGAGCACCTACTAAGGCCGGCACGGAGCACGAGGGGATGGGTGGCCAACACCAACATCAACAGTGCCGATATTTACACACACCGCGTCCTTGTTTAAGGCTGAATAAACCTCAGGAAGGCGCAGGACCAGCTCAAATATTTGTCACGGATGTTGGCCATGAGCGAAAATCGAACTCAGGTCACCGGCTTCATAGCGCAGTCCTCTAACCACGACACTAGGAAGCCACTGGAGCTATGCACTTTTAAATCCAGATTAAAACTAATTTAATTAAAACTGCGTTTTGTGTTTAGTACTGTTGTTCTTCCACCGCACCGCTGATTATCACGGTTGGCTACGTACTGTGCGAAAGAGAAGTTCAACATAATACTACCACCATTACTCATTGACCCCACAACAACAACTGCCACCATTCAACACTAAGTGGTAGTGACGTCACCACGACGCTTGTGCTAGGCTATGTGAACTTTAAAGCCACGTGAAGTGTTGATCGCCCGTTGGAAGGAGGTTACGGGACAGACCCAGGTGCCATGGGTTGATTGACTGAGATGACTGGCCGATGCACCACCTGTGCCCCCTACTGTGCCAACTTTCTGTGTTTTAGCCACCCGGCACTCCGCTCGTTGTTGTGAGCGTCGCTCCTCTGTCCTCCGTTGTTGCTGGAGGGTATCTGCCTCCAACTGCCCAGTAGCGTCCTTCACGAGCCTCCTCCACAGAGGCCGATCTTGACACCGCTGGTACCAATTATTTGGCAGGTCAACTCAGCTCCATATCCTCTCATACCACATCATTCCACCTCTTCTCACACTCGTACAGCCGCCACAAAATCCACACACTGCTCCATTTTGAGAAACCATTGAGAGACCTCACCTGCGGAAGGAGCAGGGCTCTCGATCTCTTCCGCAGCATCTCCCATCTCCTCCCGGGCCCCTTCGGCTCCCCCGTGCTGTCGAAGCTGCACCGGCAAACAGGTGACAGCGGCGTTAGTTAACCACGAAAAGCCACACGCAGGGGCGGGGGGGGGGGGACACAGCGTGCAGAGTGGCTTAGGGTGGGCAAGCCCCACCAAGTCACTCAGCGTTGGTATGGTTTTGATTATTAACCGGATGGTTTTGATTATTAACCAGGTAAGACTTTACAACAACGCACATTTACATGTGCAGCACATTTGTCAATACGCGGCAAGATAAGGGCCTCCCGCCCCCCCCCCCCCCCATGTCTCGCCTGTCGTGAGACTTACTGTAGTCTCTCGGTTAACAGTGACATCGGTTAACGGTTTTTCGGTTAATGTTTCGCCTCCCATAGGACCCGCATGGTTTCGACGAGCGTTAAAATTTCGATTAACGGTATGTTTACGTTATATGCACGCGGGCGCTAATTTGGCCAATCCATTTAGACCTCGACTGGCTTTGTTTACATTACGTTTTATGTTTTGGCAGTGGAAACAGCTCTCAATTATTTTTTACTTATTTTTCAATTAGTAAGTTAATTCCATTTACAGTTATTTCAATTAACAGTAGTTTTCGTGAAACAGATTAAAACGTTAATCAAGGGACTACTGTACTCGACCATACTTCACCATGCTGGTCACAGCAAGTTGGTGAAGGCAGGTAGAATATACACCTGGGAACATAGAGGGACATTAGACCAATGGACGTTGCTGCATTGCAACTGATGCCCACAAAATAGCCCTGCAGTCATCTCTGGCAACCTGTTATGCATGGTGGTCACCCATTCAAGCACTATCAAGGCTCGCATCCACGTTGCTTCGCTTCCGAGATCCAATCAGCTAGGAAACGTTCCTGATAATGTTATCCGAGGCTCTGGCTGCACACAAATGGTATGAATTAGCCACGTGATTCTCATTGCCCGTGTACATTTTTGCAAATAATCGGAATACGTTTGCACGCTGGGCAGCCACTTCTAAGTTGCAGGAAATGGAGATAGAAGCAACGCCTCTCAACCATGGATAATCGTGCAAAATTATCCAAGTATGGGCCACAAATAACGAAAAAATGTGGGTAATAGGGGTCACTTATCTGGCCAGGTGGCTCGGCGGTCGAGCAGGCGGCTCGCAATCGGAAGGCTTGTGGGTTCAAAACCTGGTTGGGTGTTGGACTCAGCCCATCATTCCTCTGGGGTCGGTACAATGAGTATACCCCCTTGTGAGGAATTCAACAGTGGTGGCCTTTTGACTAGACTCGCCAGAGGAATGCGGAATTTCCACCGCTGGCTTCGGACTGTACACGGGAGATGAGCACTGCCCCGATGGTCAAAGGCGCAGGGAATCGCCGTGTGCGTTACTCATAGGAGGGGTTTAGACTTCAATCTTCCATCACTGCAGGAATTCATATTCGTGGTTCTTTCGGTAAAGTCACCACGTAGATAGAAAATAAAAATCTCAATTAAAAGCAAAAAACCCACGACGTTTCGATCGCAACACAAGCGGTCTTCTTCAGGTGGAGAGAAAAGAGGGGGGGGGGAGAAGGCTGCTTGTGTTGCAATCGAAACGTCGTGGGTTTTTTGCATTTATTATTTTTAATATATTTTTTTATTTGTATAAAAAAAATTATCTTCGTGACTTTATCAAAAGAACCAAGAATATCAAAGAAGGGGGCTTTCACTGATGGCATATTCACATTGGAAGGCGGATGGAAATAGCGGAGAGAGTTGAGAGCCGAGGTATCAGTGGCGCCCCCCGGACCACTGTGGCAATGGGAGAGATGGTGATAGATGAGGATGACTTAAATTCACTGCCTGGAAAGGGGATCAACAACCCACCATGCCTAACATCACGCTCTGCTATGCAATCTTTGCAATCTTTGCAATCTTTGATGCGCACAATATCAAGACATTTGGCAGTAAAATGAGGCAATGCAGAACAAATGCATGCCTCCATACCACAAGTGCTCTCAGGCGGTAAACAGATTATATAAACAGGATTGTTGGTATGCAGGTGTCACTGTCTTTTAAAGAATTTAAGTGGTAAAGCATATATATGAATTACACGCGACTTTTACTTTGTGAAGTCAGGCTGCGGCAACTGTGATGCTTGCCTCAGAGGGTGAAGGTGAAGGCGCTCCACTGCTCGTGGAAGGGGCCTTCACCCGAGGGAGCCCGAGAGAGTTCCTCGACAGTGAATGTGGTCTACTCCTCCATGCTGGCCAGACCGTCTTGGAAGGGGTGGGTGTACCTACACTTTGCCCCACCACACGTGACCTACCAATCGACTATGGTTGTACTTATTTATACTGCTGGGTGATGGTGGGCCGGTGATTTAATAAACACGTCCTATTGTCCCAACTGCTGCACCAGGAGATCCAAACGTCGACTTCAGAATTGCGTGCTATCCATTACACTAAAGCAGCTTCCCCTATTGTAGTCGAGAAAAACAATCACCCTGTCCCTTTGACACGCTGTTCCCAGTGTGCTCATAATGATAACGCCAACAAGCCGTGTGTATTACCCGCTGTCACGTATAAACGCGAATCAGAAACTTGGAAGTTGATTGAAAGAATGTGAAACAAGAGGTGAAACTACTCAAAGCGTGGAGAGATGCACGCTAGGAATTACACCGAGAGACAGAAATAAGAACACGTGAGAACGACGCAACTTGAATAGATCATCGTGCCCTGCTGAGACAATGAACTGGGCTTGGGCAGGATACGTCACGGGACGTGGGAGTGGCAGCCAAAGGAGACAGCACGCCCGAAGCTACCGTCCACCAGAGAGATGGAGTGATGAAATTAACTCATGCGCAGCAGCTGCATGGGATTGTTGCACTTCCTGACTGTAGGGGATGCCGATAGCATGGGGATGCCTTCATCCAGCAGTGGAATGACCTTGGTTAGTTATGACGCCATGCATACGATGCCACGGCGGTCATGGGCCCTGCCCAACAGGTTCCGTACCGGCCAGGGTGCGTGTGCAACCGACCCCCTCCGCACCTGGGGCCAACGTGAACCACAACCCACTCGCTTTTGTGGATGTGCTCAGACTGTGCCATCGTAGCACACTGTCGACGAGGGGCCGCTGAGCGGACTCGATGGCGGTCTCGGCGCCCCCTTCCCTCCAAGGCTGCTGGTTGAGAATATCAAGAAGGGCGCGGCAAGAGATGAGCATCGGGGAAAACGTCAACACGAAGCGGGGGTTCTCGATATGGAGCTGCAGCAGTTGCGGCGACAGCAGCCACCGCCGCCGTGCTGCTTTGAGCGATTGCCCGAGGAGCCTGTTGGTCTGCAGAAGATGAGAGCTGGCACGCAATTACCTCTGCGTTAACGCGACACGAAGACAATCCATTCAGCTGCCCCTCCAACGCCGCGTCGGTGCCGATATCTTCCGTGGCCTCAGACATCCCTGGGGCAGGGCACGGCACTCCGAGACTCGCGAGCTGCATGGGATACGGGAAGAAGGGGGGGGGGGGGGGGGGGTGGACACACGCGTGAACGTACGTTCCATCATCTGGCAACGCATGGCAAACACCTGCGCGGGTTTTCACGGTCGAGCTACGTGGCTCTCTGACGTGTGTCCGGCTTGAACTGCACGTCACCTGGCGCGGGGTCTGACAGTTCACTACACATGCTGGGACCTTGTCCAGGGACTGGTCTCTTCCTCCAGGAACTGCATTTTTCCTGAAGACGCTCACAGCAGGTGGAGCAAAACGTCAAGACGTCATGCCGAACGACACGCGACACAACCCACAAGCACATCAGGCAGCTGTGAGGCATACACCCACTGAAGCACCAGCTCCAACTGGAGTGCTTAACCTGCTGGGCTGACTGTGCAGGTCACATAATTGCAAGTTACGTGTAATTACTTAGTAGTGTTTGTGTCTCCACTCTCAATTAAGCACGGGGTGGTGGTGCATCTCTGTTGGCTACCCAGAGTCAGCGGTGGAAACTCCACCTTCCTGTGGTGGTGGCGAGTCTATCCGGACCGCTGTTGGCTTCCCAACAAGTGGGACGACCCTCAGGCGCGAATGCCGACTCTGGTGCGGGCAGCGGCGCCTTGTGGCTCCAAGTTTAGGAGGCCTGGTGGAAGCGGATTTCTTGACGACTGATGGTCGATGATGATCGTTCAACATAATGGCCGTTAATGTCGAAATTACCGCACAGGTGATGGGCTCCCGCCAAAGCGGTTTTCCTTGGAAGCTGCGTGGGCTGTGAGCTGCTTCATCTGGTGGAAAAAGCACTGATAATGAAGTCAGTTTCTCAGTGGGTCTCTATTGGGGCCTATGGATATCTATGTGGATCTACGTACCCCTATGTGGGTCTATGTGCAGTAGTACCTCTATGTGTGTATGGGTCTGTGTAAATCTGCGGGTCTCTGCGTGAGTCTTTTGAGTCTTGGTGCAAGTCTATGGGTCTCTACGCACCTTTGGGTCGCTACTCAAGAAGCCACTGCCGTCACGTTCCAGTGACACGATAAATCCATCTGCAAAGGGGGCATCACGGGGCCGATTTTGTGACCTCCTCAACCTTGCAGCCCACAAGCCGCCACCTGTGCACAGTGCCGGATTATCCTAGTAGCAAAAGTAGCTACACATGTAGCTACGGGCCCCGCACTTTCATGGGCCCCGCGCTAAATGGTTTCAAGCTCTCAATTCCGGTCCAGTGATGGTGCACTTGCTCTATTACTATAGTACTAGACTGCCTTCAACTTTTATGAACGACTGGGTGTTTAAGGTTAGCGATTTGTCGTATTATCTGGCCGTCTAGCAAATGAAAAAAATCAATTGCCTTACTATGCAAGTAAAAAATTTGTGTTTTAATATTTACGTGTTTTTTTATTTAGGGCCCCTTTATAACATTATGCTACAGGCCCCGCACTAGCTTAGTCCGCCACTGCCTGTGCATCATTAGCGTGCACTGCAACGCTTTTACTGAATGGTGGCAGAGGTGATTGCGCGACTCTACGCCCTGGCTCCTGCTTACTCCACAACAGAACCACGCTCGCAGTCATCCTTCACTGCTCTGTCGTGTAGATAACAACAACAACAACAAAAACTCAACACCTTCGTCAAAAAAGGCTGCCTTAAAAGGAAACCGTATTAACTAATTGTCACGTTGTTGACGTGACAAACCTTACTTGCTGCGTCGGGTGGTGGAGGGTTACGACGCATTTACACTTAAACGCGATCTAACCCCAAAAACCTTTATTGTGAATACTGTAGTATTATTATTACACTTGCCGACTCAGGAAAAGCCTCACTAGGTCTTGTTAGGAAGATCCCGCCAAGAATGTATGCATTGAGGGGCTATGTTGCTGTGTAATTACAATTGAGTAAACGCTCTTCCTTCCGATATTATGGCGTCACTGGGGCTATGCACTTCACTTTTAAATATGGATTGAAAACGAATTTATTTATAACTTATTTTGTTGTGTTTGGTTTGTTGTCCTTCCCCCGCACCTCCGATTAGCACGGTTGTCTGCGTACGGTGCGAAAGAAGTTCAACACAGTGCGTGCAAAATTTTGTTTTAAATCATTTTAAGGCCACGGTGCTTATTGACGAATGTGTTGAATGTTCGCGTCGTTTGTGCCGGCGGTGATTAAAAAACGACATCACCACAATGGCGCGTTTCATTTTCTAGAATAGTGTGGGCATGGCCAGCCCCTGCCACCTCTCCCAGCTACCTGCGTTTGTCATTTCAGTTTCCAACAACGATATTGGGCGCGCCCAGACGTAGCTCAGAAGTTAATAATTGTCCATTATGCCTGAGTCAGACATGGAAATGCCAGGCGCACGTTGACTCTTTGCTTTGTGATTGTGCTACACAGGCAGGGCCAATATTTACAACTTGGAGATGCAAACTCGAGAGCGAAAACGAACAAACATTTAGCATTAAATGGCTGTGGAATTGTTAATAATTATTTTGTAACTATATACATTTCTGATTGCGGTTGTTTAATTTCTGGGTAAACGTTTAATACAGTAATTAGGGTTGTTTATATTTTGACTTAAAACTTTCGTGACTGCAGGAATTCATGTTCTTGGTTCTTTCGGAAAAGTCACGTAAATAGAAAACAAAAAATAAAAATAATAAAATAAATGTATAATTAAAAAATACGTATAAATAGAAAATAATAAGAGCAAAAACTCACAATAAAAATGTACGTTTCATTTTATTTTATTATTTATTTTATTTACTTTATTTACCGAAAGAACCAAGAATATAGGGTCGATTATATCTGTGATACAGCAGCTGGACAAGCTGGTTCCACTTCTATGATAATGTCCACGGTTGTTCCATCTGCTGTGGCCACTTTCCGCATTTCACACTGTCGCCGTACAGTGTGGTGTTTGGGTGTGACATCTGGAACCTCCGACTCACCTCAACAACTTTTCGTTTCCGAAGCGAAATCATCTATTTACTGCTCAAAATATATATTGATATAATTACTCCACTCGTATTATTCTGTAACACCTGCTTCGATCTATTTGAAAGTTGTCAATTTCAAAGATATCAAAACACTTGAGGATTTCCCTTAATATAATTAATATGATATTAAATGCTTTAAATGTTGCGATTAAAGCGTCCCAAATGTAATGTCTCCCACTGGATGTACCTTCTTAAAATCACGTGATCCTCTTGCTGTGTAATTCCAAGTAAAACATCTCTCCAATGAATCTTTGCAAGTGTGTTGCTGTGTGTGTGTGTAAAGTATCGATGACGACTACAACAGCAACATCTTGGGAGCAAATTTGGATTTAAAGCTTTCGTGACTGCAAGGATTCATCTTCTTTGGTTCTTTCGGTAAAGTCACGTAGAATGAGAATAAAATAATAAAATAAAACTCAAGCGTTGTCTTCTGGACAGTCCTGTTTCTTCACCTGAGGACGGCTACTTGTGTTGTGGCCGAAACGTCGTGAGAATTTTATTGTTTTATTTTATTATTTTATTCTCATTCTACGTGACTTTACCGAAAGAACCAAAGAAGATCTTGGGAGCAAGTAAACTGCTTCTACATCTACACCAGGCTGGACGTGTCGTCTCAACACCGTGTTCAGCTGCCGCATTGCAACGGTACAACGCTCCTTCTTTCTGCTGGCACCACCGATCCAAGGCTTCGCAAACTCGCACTGGCCAGCGCTGGTGAAGTATGGTCGAACAAACCCCCGAAGGCATTATGTGTCGTTAACAACAAGGGCGAGAGGCCTTCGGTTCGCCGATTGTAAATTATCAGTGGCATTTTTTGGGTGGATTATTATGAACGTAACACAACGTGCAGCAACTTGCATGCCACAACTGCAATAAACCACACTCCTTAACCCCACTAATATCTGCTAGAGCATATTACTCCGTACCACCGCAACATCGAAGGCAGACTAAAATCGATTTTTTCCAGACCGTCGATGTTCCGTGAAGCATTTGCTTCCTCTGGACTTCACGTGGCGACAACGTTCAGCCGGAGACCCCCCCCCTAAGCAACTCCCGACGGCTGTGGCTGTGAGACTCGCACGTGTCTTTACCTTTCATCTCGCGTGGAGGGAGGGGCGGCAGAAGCAAAGTCCGCTCTGGCTGCAGCGAGAAGAACTTCTCTCGCCGAGTCGCGACCGCTTGGATGCTCTCGGCTAGTGAGGCAGACAACTTCCCTCCGCTTACAATAAACACCCCAAACCTCCCGCCCGGCTCTCAATGTCCACGGACGAGTTGAAGCGCACGCGGCAACCGCAAATCACGCTTCGATGATCAACCCTCGTCGCCGGCTCCTTCGCTTCCTTTTTTTTTGCGGGGGTCTTGCTGAACCGCGGCAGCTGCAGACGACGCTCACGGAGTCTCCGACCTCCCGATGTCCAAATCGCAACGGCCACGAGCGACTCGGGAGTGCGCGACCGACTTGGGGGGGGGAGGGGGGGCGACTCAAAACCAAACCACGCTCGCAGCGGCGGAGGGAGCGCAAAGCCACAAGGAGCTCCACAAGGGCCCCGCTGGGAGCCGCAGCAGCGAGAGGGTGGTGGCTGTTCCAACGCGCAAGTGAGCAGGCAAGCTGCGGAACAGGTAACTCCGGTGCCGGCAGCACACACGCTCTCGCCTACTGCCCACGCAGAAAATCTGCGCGGAGACTCCCCACCCTCCCCACCCCCAAAGTGAGTTCGTCGCCTTTGCACTTGAGCCGTGTGGACTCGTGATGTGCTTGGTGCGACTCCCCCACTCGCTGGCTTGGTGTGTGTGTGTCTGTGCGTGCTAGAGAGCGAGCGAGCGGTACATGAAGCGACCTCTCCGCATCACCGACTCCAACCCCCCACCGCACGTGCGGCACATTCCAGGGCAGGCGGCGTCACGCCCGACACGGACCCCGCGACGGCCACCAGCTCAGCGGACGTCGCGGGCGGCGGCAGCGGCGGCGGCGTGCGGACGCGGATCACGAGAGACGCGCCGGAGAGCGAGGGGAATGCGCGGGCCAAGCGTGGCTTCGTCCGCCGAGTTGTGGCGTCTGCGAAATTAATCGCGCCGCCTGTTCAAGTGATCTCAGTGTTCGGTGCGACAAGCCCGCGTCAACCACCACCACCCCCCCCATGGCTTTCGGGAAAGTGCTACTTTTGCAATATTTGGCTTTCTCGGGGCGGGCGGGGGGGGGGTTTGGGTGTGTTTCCCTCCCCTTTTTGCTCAGTGAGCCTTACCTGGTGAAATAAACATTTTCGTTTTAGTTCCAAGATATCGAAGCATCAGTCAGGCGAGAGAGATGAAAGATGACGCGACCAAGGCACCCGAAATGTCTCGTGATCTCGTCGGCTCTCGGAAGCGAAGCAGGTCCCAGCCAGTTGAGCTAGTGCCTTGTGACACCGCCAGGGCTTTTAAGGTGTTGTAGGCATGCGGCTGCGAGGCAGCCACAAGTATCCTTCACCCCACCGTGTCTGTGGTGGATTGTGTGCAAGTGCTATTAGCGAGCACCTGTGAAGGCCCACGTGAAGCCACACACTCATCATGGAATTGGCCAGGACCCTCCTGAACGAAACAGTCATGAGACTCGGCGAAGCCTTCCCAAGTAAATGACATTTCTATAATAAGTCACAGTGCGTTTTTTTTTAGTTAGTTGAATACGTTTGGAGAAAACCCATGCCAATGCAGATGTAAACACATTGGCATTTGCAATGATTATCTGGAGGTTCATAGTTGACTCGTGGTGATTGAAGAGCTGACGTCTCGGGTCACCCTGGTGTTGAAAGTGGAGGATGTCACCTAAACCCCGGTCTTTAAACGTTATGACAACCGAAGATACTGTGGTATGCGTATATAAAACGCAATATATTGTGCACAGAGCAACGGGCCATGCCAATAAATGTTTCCAAGCCTTGTTAGGAATCATTCATTCCTCCACAGCGTATTTATTCCTTGACTTCACCCACGGATTTCGGCTACGCTCAAGTCTGCGTGAAAATGAATGGATAAATGAGGCGAGCGGTTCCCCGTTCCATTTCCCCCTCTTCTCTCACCGAGACTCGCGACATCTGTTGTGTTCGTCAATCCGCTGCTGGATGAGGGGGCCTCCCCATGCCGAGCCAGTCCCAGTGGGGCTGTTTCATCGCACTGGTCAGTCCGGGTCGTTGAAGGGAGGGCACGAAAACAGTTCGGATATCGCTTGCCACTGATGTCTGCTGTGACCTCGAATCTAACTCGGGTAGCAATGGTTTAGAGTGCAACGCGCTAACCACTGTGCCGCCGCTCATCCCAAAGCTGTTAAACCCACTCAAACAATACATCGCCACAGCAAATGGCAGGCTTGGGCAAAAAGATCCCCGCTGCTATTAAACTGTCTATCAGCGAAAAATATAACAAAGAAAATAAATTAAACGTAATTCTATGTGCAGACGGCACTAAAATGTAAAAGGCAGCGGTGGAAATGTATTGAATAACCAAAGTTATTTGAAAGGACAAGAATTAAACAATTAGTTTTAAAAAAAAATTCAAGGTGTTGTAATAAAGCACACAGATGAAACTGAGAAAGGTATAAAAAGGAAAGCTTGAAACACATGGACCGTGGTCTGCGGTTCTTCAACGTAGACGCAGCGAAACGACACAAACTCTCTCTCTCTCTCCTGAAAGCCCTCTCGCCGTGGCTGGTAGACGACATTGGGGGCAATATAGCTCTTGAACATACTGATGCCATCGTACACAATGAACAATATGAAACACAACAAAGGAACCGAAACACACAAAAACTGGATGCATAATCAGAGGGTCGAATGTCTCGATTGATCATGCTGCCAAGGGCAGGTGGTGATTGAGCTATCTGTCAATACGTGCCTCTGGCAATTGGAGACTCAGAGGCTGACAGCTTCTCACCCAGGGAAGACGGGAAATGTATTGAGACTGATTAACACCGCTTAAAGAAACATTTTCTCGGGTTTATGAGTTTCCGATTATTTTTTTGTTTGAGTGAGGTCTGCATAGAATTACTCCACGAGTTTTGCCATTCTGCCCCTATCAAGGTCAGTGGATCCATCTTGCTTAGGGCTGCATTTGTGATTCGTTCGTCGACTTCCGTTCTGCCGTTTCCATGGCCCCCACTGCTTGTTATGAAATCGCCTATGACTTTTGTTGGATTGTTGAAGTGGATTGTCCATAGCTACTGCCAGGTAACGATACATATGCCAACTGTAAAAAAAAAACTCATCAGAAAACATTTATCATCCGACTCCTCCGTGTAAAGTGTAGTCCCCAGCTCTTAGTTGCCACTATCTGACATGTTCCATGAAGGACCATTGCCCTAAACATAAAATACATTTATTTTACTCGAACGCGATTGGGTTTTTTTTCTGGTTGTGCACCACTGCCAACGCAGCATCACCAAATGTTTAAAAAAAATTGTGCTGTTCTCCGATGGTTTTTGTCAATTTTTTTATCCGGAGTTTTACAGTTCTGTACATTATTTTTCATATGTCGAGAATGCTTTTTAAATCACTGCGGTGGCATACGGATCATAAACAAGACACTAAGAAAATGAAACACAAGCTAAACAAAAATGCAGCCGCATGGAGAGACGCATGCTTGGCATTACGTTGCCGAGTCGGCGAAGCCGGCATTGACTGTCCTGATCAATGACCGATTTGGTCCATTGACAGACCTCTATTTTTTTAGGGTGGAATTTAAACACCATATTGACTTAAAGGGGGAGCAGGGTCAACGTGATGAAAGAGGCGAGAGAGAATAGGTTGGAGTGCTTTCTAAAAATTGGATTTTGATCATGGAAAGTAACATACCTATGTGCCTACAGAGGAAAGATTTCAATCGGCGCAAGCTATGACGTATGGATGAGAAACATGGGCTCTGGCAAATGATTGTTACGCTCGTTTACCCAGGAAAGCCTTAGTTTCAAGGCTATTTTCACGAGGGTCTTTCCAAGTATTTGCATTGTGTAACCTCAATGCAGTACTTTTCAGATCATTCGGCATTGGGATGTTTTGGCCAATGCCAGTTGCATTGTTTTTTTTAAGCTCCGGAAGGAAACAGAAAAAATCCGGAAGCCCTCCATGCAGAACAAGGGGAGAACATACAACTCCACACAGAAAGAACAATGGGAGAACACAACTCCACACAGAGAAAGAACAAGAGAACATACAACTCCACACAGAGAAAGAACAAGAGAACATACAACTCCACACACAGAAAGAACAAGAGAACATACAACTCCACACAGAAAGAACAATGGGAGAACACAACTCCACACAGAGAAAGAACAAGAGAACATACAACTCCACACAGAAAGAACAATGGGAGAACACAACTCCGCACAGAGAAAGAACAAGAGAACATACAACTCCACACAGAGAAAGAACAAGAGAACATACAACTTCACACAGAGAAAGAACAAGAGAACATACAACTCCACACATAGAAAGAACAAGAGAACATACAACTCCACACAGAAAGAACAAGGGGAGAACATACAACTCCACACAGAAAGAATAGAACACACAACTCCACACAGAAAGAATAGAACACAACTCCACACAGAGAGAACAAGAGAACATACAACTCCACGCAGAAAGAACAATGGGAGAACATACAACTCTACACAGAAAGAACAAGACAGCATACAACTCCACACAGAGAGAACAAGAGAACACACAACTCTACACAGAACAAGAGAACATACAACTCCACACAGAACAAGATAACATACAACTCCACACAGAGAGAACAAGAGAACATACAACTCCACACAGAGAGAACGAGAACATACAACTCCACACAGAGAGAACAAGAGAACATACAACTCCACACAGAGAGAACAAGAGAACATACAACTCCACACAGAGAGAACAAGAGAACATACAACTCCACACAGAGAGAACAAGAGACCATACAACTCCACACAGCGAGAACAAGAGAATACACAACTCCACACAGAGAGAACAAGAGAATACACAACTCCACACAGAGAGAACAAGAGAATACACAACTCCACACAGAGAGAACAAGGGAAGAACATACAACTCCACACGGAAAGAATGGGAGAACACAACTCCACACAGAGAGAACAAGAGAATATACAACTCCACACAGAAAGAACAATGGGAGAACATACAACTCTACACAGAGAGAACAAGAGAGCATACAACTCCACACAGAGAGAACAAGAGAACACACAACTCTACACAGAACAAGAGAACATACAACTCCACACAGAGAGAACAAGAGAATACACAACTCTACACAGAGAGAACAAGAGACCATACAACTCCACACAGAGAGAACAAGAGAACATACAACTCCACACAGAGAGAACAAGAGAACATACAACTCCACACAGAGAGAACATACAACTCCACACAGAGAGAACAAGAGAACATACAACTCTACACAGAGAACAAGAGACCATACAACTCCACACAGAGAGAACAAGAGAACATACAACTCCACACAGAGAGAACAAGAGAACATACAACTCTACACAGAGAACAAGAGACCATACAACTCCACACAGAGAGAACAAGAGAACATACAACTCCACACAGAGAGAACAAGGGGAGAACATACAACTCCACACCGAGAGAACAAGAGAATACACAACTCTACACAGAGAACGAGACCATACAACTCCACACAGAGAGAACAAGAGAATACACAACTCCACACAGAGAGAACAAGAGAACATACAACTCTACACAGAGAGAACAAGAGAACATACAACTCTACACAGAGAGAACAAGAGAACATACAACTCCACACAGAGAGAACAAGCTCTACA